CAGTGACTCGAAGATAAATCAGAAGTGCACACACTGCATCCTTTCCTGCCCTCTCCCATAACCCTCAAATCAGGAAGGGAGGAAATCACAGCCAGGAGGCATCTCCCTTTGCCAGCCCAAATACCAGCAAGACAAGAGTCCACTAAAGACATCTGTGAAACACCAAATGCCATTTGTTTTCCCAGACTCTGGAGAAGAGATTACTTAAAATCACTCTAGGCGTGGAACAATAAGGATCCATCCAGCAATTTGATTAGGCCATAGCCATCCCTAAGGCATCATTTCCATCTAAGAAAATAGAAGCAGACATGCGGTAGAGGGAGAGAGACAGAGGAAACTCCAGTTCTGTCTTTGCCTGGGTATGTAGTCCTGGCTGTGTTCAGAGTTCAGAAAGGTAAAAAGAAAAATGTCACCCTTGCACATTGACTGGGTAAATTGCAAGCAAATGCTCAACAAATTCAATCTACTCATTTGTGGCAGAGAGCCAAGATTTCTGCCATTTCCAAGGGTAAAGGGCTCCAGTTAGCAGATCCCACAGTAATTCTTCCTATGTTTGACACAAAGTGAATATGACAAGCAGAAAAAAAAATCACTAATGTTTTCATTTAGGATGCTTTAGTTGATACACTTAAGGGTTGCCTAATTCCCAGTCCCTCCCCTGACCCGCGCAACAGAGATTAGCTGTTCTGGCATGAGAATACATATCTATTATCCATTATAGATGATAGACTTAAAACTACTCTGAGCTGAGAATCACTGGCAATATACTGGATGGTTATTATAAGAATCATAAGAACCTAAGAAATAGGCATATGAAATGGAAGTTGGATGGGCCTAGTGGCTCATGCCTGTACTAGAGCCTTGATAGGCTGAGGTATGAGAATCACTTGAGGCCATGAAGTGAAGACCAGCCTGGGCAATAGTGAGACTCCACCCAACAAAAAAAATTTTACAGTTAGGTGGAATGGTGCCACCTGCCTGCAGTCCTAGCTACTTGGCAGGCTGAGGCCAGAGGATTGCTTGAGCCCTGGTTCAAGGCTGCACTAAGCTATGATCCCACCACTACGATCTAGTCTGAAAAACAGAGCAAAACCTCACCTCAAAAAAAGAGAAAAAATGTTGCTTCTCAAAATTGTCATCTTGAGTAAGAACTTATTTTTTGGATTGCTTTCAGAGAATGTTTACATACCACACTTGAAATGCCGCCTTGTCACATCATAGTGGCATAGCCTGCTTGACTGTTTTCAAAGAACATCCTGACAGGATGAATATTAATTGCATTGGTAATAATCTACCAAATGTGCTATAGGCTCTAAGGCAATCCCCAGAGAAAATTCTACAGCTGTGTTGAACAATGGTATCATTAAAATTTGTATGACCCTATTCTCCAGGTGAATATTTTCAAGAAGGCAACAAATACTTGACAACAGAGCTCTAGTATATTTTCTTAAAACTCAGACATTTGACTTTATTTATTTAGTTATTTTGAGACAAAGTCTCACTATGTTGCCCTAGGTTTAGTGCTGCAGCATCACAGCTCACAGCAACCTCAAACTCTTGGGCTTAAGCGATTCTCTTGCCTCAGCCTCCCAAGTAGCTGGGACAGCAGGCACCCGCCACACGCCTGGATATTTTTTGTTGTCATTGCTGTTTAGCAGGCCTGGGCGGAGTTTGAACCTGCCAGCCCTGGTGTGTGTGGCCAGCGCCCTAACCATTGAGCTATGGATGCTGACTCTGCTTATAGGATCATTGAGCTGGGGCACGATATGGTTCAATGTACAGAGTTTGGGTAAAGCTTTAAATGGGCAGTTACTGCCTGTTAAGAGGAGGCCTTTTACTTGAAATGCTGCCGCTGTCTCTACCCTTTCTAAGGGTCTTCTCGAAGAGGAGAAGAAAGTTATCTGGGCATCACATGTGTCACATCCATTTGGAAATGTAATCACTTATCTAAGACTTGGAAGATGTTTGTTGATTGGCAGTCAACACCCTTTGGTGTGCTTGGGTCTTGGAAGCTGATGCAGCGTATGTCTGGAAATAGTACCGAGGATGCTGGAGGTGGCAGGGAGGTTCCCAAAAAGGCCTGTGAGGCACCAAAGATAATATTTCCTGTTGCAAAGTATTTATTTTGGTTAATTCCATAATGTTGCCTCAGGAGGGCCAACGATCACACAGATTTATATTTTTAAAATTTCTTTTGGTAATAGCTCTGCAGGTTACGGATTTAAGATCTTCTTTTTCTGCAAAGGATTTAAAGTGCTATGTAGATTATGTAAAGAGGGCTCAACATTAGAAGGAATATTGCTTCTGAGAATCCCCCAAAGCCATTCAAGTGGTCACTGACTTTCCAACAATTCCTCCCTCTGTGCTCCATGTCCTAGGGTCCGAGAACGGGCTTCAAAGTTGGCCATCAGAATCCTGGCTCTGTTATTTATTATCCGTGTGACCCTCGGGAAGGTACTGAACCTTTCTATGCCTCAATTCTCTTGCCTGTAACATGGTATTTCCTCATTTAGTGAAATGAGATGCTGCCAACGAGGGAGGCAGAAGTCAGGCCCATTACAGGGTAAGTGTTCAGCGCTTCCTGACTTGCTGCCATCTCGTTGTTTATAATTTCCATTTTATGGTCAGAAGCCTGAGCCCAGGGAGAGTAAATTGTTATGCATCTATCATACTGTTGGACAGTGGGAGAATTAGGGATAGTTCTCTTTTATTTCCCTGATAACATTTATGTTAGCTTTTGGGACTCACTCTAGTGCCTCTTCTCTATAACAGCAGTGCTTGCTTAAAATAGCATCTTGGTTATTTATGGCTCTTTCCATGATACCTATAATAATAATAATAATCAACTTACTCTAGACCAGCAGTTCTCAACCTGTGGGTCGTGACCCACAGGAACTGTATTAAAGGATGGTGGCATTAGGAAGGTTGAGAAGCACTGCTCTAGACTCTAGTCTGAGAATTATCTCGTTTCATTCTCGACATAACCCTCAGAGATATTATTATCACTCCCTCCCCGAGGTGAAGAAATGGGCGTAGTGAAGTTCGGGAAGTTGCTTGCAGTTACACAGCGAGGACTGCCAATGTAAGAATTTAACCTACATTCATCCAAATCAAAATGCCTACATATAGAATTAGAAAGTAGTTCTACAATTTGTTTTTAAATGATCCCAAAATTGCCTGTGTTTAAAAAAGGAATTTTGTAAAATATATACATGACTCTACTCCATAATCTACAATTAAGAAGAAAAAAAACAACACTTCTTAAATGGATGAGAGCTGAAGGCTTTCCTTATGCACAGACTGTGAACACTCGCCGAGTCTCGTTCCCTCCTGGCCCACATGCAGGCCAGGAGGGTTAAGCTGGGCATGGCTATCGTGTTTGCAGCATTCTCTCTGGGCAGCAGCCATGAAAACTGCTCTAGGAATGCTCTGGAATTAGGCTCTGCCTCATCAGACTGCCCTCACATACCGTTTCTTCTGTTTTTGAGTCAGAGTCTGCTCATTTACCTGGGCTAGAGTGTTGTGGTCTCAGTCTAGCTCACAGAACCTCAAACTTCTGGGCTCAAGCAATCCTCCTGCCTCATCCTCCAGCTAGGACTACAGGTGCTTGCCATGATGCTCTGCTAATTTTTCTATTTTTAGTAGAGACCCGGTCTCTCTTTGCTTAGGCTGGTCTTGAACTCCTGACCTTAAGTGATCCTCCTGCCTTGGCCTCCCAGAGTGCTAGGATTTCAGGTGTGAGCCACTGTGCTGGGCCTGACATACTGTTTTGATGTGTAACATGCTGTCTTTGTGCTTGGACAGATAGATAATGTCATATTACAGGCACAAAGAAAGTGCTCTCCTGCCAGGAAGAGTTTCTTCTTTCAAGTTCCCTGGGGACTGGGGCTTACTCACCAGTACATGACTGGGGGGCACAGAGCTTTCTCTCTACATTGTTCATATTTGGGGCTGAATAAACCAGTTTTACATTAACTAAAGGATGTAAGGGCTTGGCGCCTGTGGTTCAAGTAGCTAAGGTGCCAGCCACATATACCTGAGCCGGCAGGTTCAAATCCAGCCCAGGCCAACCAAAAACAACAATGATGGCTGCAACCAATAAAAAGCCGGGCGTTGTGGCAGGTGCCTGTGGTCCCAGCTACTTGGGAGGCTGAGGCAGGAGACTTGCTTGAGCCCAGGAGTTGGAGGTTGCTGTGAGCTGTGATGCCATGGCACTCTACCCAGGGGGACAGCTTGAGACTCTGTCTCAAAAAAAAAAAAAAAAGGATATAAGGTAGCCACAGATCTTTTTCCTCAGTAGTCATGATGATGTCATCCTTTAACTCTAAACTCAGGCACTGCCTCCTCCAGAAGCCTTCCCTGCCTTTCCCTTGCTGTGTGAGACCCTTAACCCCTGTGCTCTCACCAGGTGGAAAGGTCACCACTCTTTCTACCTGGTATTAAAGTGACAGCTTTTAAAGCCTGTTTCCCTTTCCAGGCTGTGCTTGCAGGCAGGGATCAGATCTTATTTAGGGCTGATACTCAGCTCGCATTAGGATGGGTCGGCCATTTAGACATTCCTGTTGGAAGTATGGTGTCGAATGGTCATTTAATACTCTTAACATCACCTCTGGTCTTACTGCAACACTCAGTGTTAACACAACATCTTGCACATGGAAGTTTTTCAGGGAGTGCACGTTGCCTTGATGATGAATGAACATGGGCATACCCGAGTTGGACTGACGCCTGGATTATCACTGAAGGGATGAACTACAATGCAATATTCTTAAGAAGCAAGAACCTTTGATCACTCGAAAGCCTAAGGACAACAATGTTCTGCAAGGACACACCAGCTCTGGCCTCTAGATGCCACAAATGGACCAGAGTTCATGAAGTCTTCACATGAATCTGTCAAGATCATCGCTGTTTTTGGTCTTGATCCTGTCCCTACATAAACATAATGGTAATCCAAGCACGCTGACCAAGCTCAGTGCTGCTCTGTTAGAGCAGCACAGACTTACCTGTCTGTGTTGTTGGGAGACTTGATATCCTAGTCCTGTGAGGGGCTGGTTCTGCATCTGCTGAAGCAGGATCTTTTGCTGAAGTGGCAAAGGTGACCTCAGCAGAGGCTGGCTCGACAGAGGCTGGGCAGGCTGAGATGGCTGCGGCTGTGGCTGTGGCTGCGGCTGCTGTTGTTGAGCTGAAACTGAACTCTGCTGCTGCTGCTGCTGAGCTGAAATTGAGCTCTGCTGCTGCGGCTGCTGCGGCTGCGGCTGCGGCTGCGGCTGCTGGGTGTAGTGGAGGAGAGAAGGCTTGTTCTGGGAAGGTAAAACTGAAGGCATCTGCTGGCTGGCTTGATCTGAGTTAAAGTGGAACAAAGGCTTGGTGTTGCCATGACAAGGCTCCACGGCCGGGTGCGGGTTGTTAATAAAACTTCGACTGAGGTCCTGAGGCTTTGGCTGCATGAGCACATCCAGGTGCCCACCCTGGGCTGAGGGGCTGGCCTTGTACATGTAGCTGGACACTGCTTTCGGCTGGCCGCTGCTGCCAGCTACCCCAGGCATGGGTGAGCTCTGTGGGCTGAACGGCTGCTGACCAAAAGAAGGGCTGGGGATTTTCTCTGGCCCAAAGGGACCTGGGGAGGGTCCCGCAGTGGAGGGCAGGGCTGACCAGCTGGCGGGCTGGTGCTGCTGCTGCAGCCGGGCATGTTGCTGGCGGTTGGCAGCTATCTGTTTGAGCTGCTGGGCGTGGGAGACTTCCTGCCAGCTGGGCAGGGCCCGGCTAGCTCCTGAGGCTGTCTGAGGCTGAGCCTGGCTCTGAGGGACTGAAGGGATGGGGGACGATGTGGAAAGGGCAGAGCTGGCCATGGAGAACGCAGGGCCAGCCGACGGGGGCCTCAACTGTGGAGAGCCTGCGGGGCCCTGAGCCAGGCCCGGCGAGAACTCGCTCTTGATCACTATCTTCTCCATGGGCAAGGAGGGCCTGGGTGTGCTCCTCTGGCCTTGCTGGCCCAAGTCCATGCTGAACGGGCCGTCCTGCTTGATGGTGGCGTTGATCATGTCCTCCAGCTCGAGGTCACTCATGGGAGGCACAGATATGTTGGTCAGTTCATTGAACAGTTCCTGCAGCTCAGGGTCCATCAGCTGCTCTCCAGCGTCATCTCCGTACCTATTAGTAAAAACATTCTCCTGGGTCACTTGGCCGTCCATGTGCTTACTGCAGGACAGAGTCTCTCCCGGCTCCTTCTTCACCTCCTTCAAGCCCATGGTAAACATCCCATTGCCAGGAGAATGTGTGTGGGAGGGCAGAGTGTTGGTCTTTCTCAGGGGGGCTTGGCTCGTAGGCAAGGTCCCGGACATAATCTGATTTTGTCCATTATTGACTTGGAGGCCACCTGATCCTGCAGAGAGGTTCTCCCCGATGCGGATTCTTTTGATATCAAGGAACGAGCTGTCGACGAAGCCATTGGGCCTCTTGCTATTGGCAGGAGACAGGTTAACTACCTGCTTTCTTTTCAAGGAACCCTGGAGCTGGAAGACAGAAGAGAATAAAAAAGAAAAACATGATGCATTAACTTGGTTATGCTTCTAATCAAATGTCACACTTTGGTTCCTCTGTTTACACACAAGAGGAAGGAAAAAAAAAAGCACAAATGAAGCGTAGTCTAGACCAGGGGTCCTTAGACTTTTTAAACATGGGGCCAGTTCACTGTCCCTCAGACCGTTGGAGGGTGGACTGTGGGCCCCGGGACAAGTCGGCTCCTAAGCAGGACAGGCAGCAGTGGCAAAAACACTCGGCGGGCCGGATAAATGTCCTCGGCGGGCCACATGTGGCCCGTGGGCCGTAGTTTGAGGATGCCTGGATAACGAAACTCTCAGTAGGACAAAACAAACAGATTTTCTAGAGGAGCAGATGAATTAGTTTAGAAACTACACTAGTTCCCATGATTGGTACGTAAGTCAATAGCTACAGAATCCTTCAAAATATCACAAGAAGTTATTCATAGCACCTTAGACCAATCACTGAAAATCACTACAGCATTGCTGTTTTCTGAAGCAGGCCCAAATATTCCACACGCATGCACAACTCCACACACCTGCAGATGATCACATTGCACACACCGTGGCCAACTTAGAAAACACTGGCAAGTCTAAGGCTGGGACAGAAATGCTAGTTTCTTTCATAGGTTCAGTCCTACCATCATTCTTATGCTCAGCCCGAGAAGATACTCTACCTCTTGCTCACCTGTTTATCTTCCTATAAGTGCATCTACAATTCCACTGCTTCGCATTCAGGCCCACGTGGTGACAGTGTGTGGATGCGTGCATAGAAGCCGTGAGATCATCCTTGACCAAATCAGACACTGTATGCACAGACTGTACTAGGGATTCATTTCTTTTATTGCCTGTCCTCAGATCTGGTAACTAAACCAAGGTGTTGAGACATGATGTTGCACAGGGTTAAGAGCCCAGGCCCCGGGAGCAGACTAGGCCAAACTCAGGTTCCATTTCTGTGCTCTATGTGACCTTGGTAAATGAGCTCATCTGAGTCTCAGTTTCCTAATCCAGAAATTGGGGACAATAAGGCTTAATTATAGAGATAGTGCATGTAAAAGGTTAGAAAGTGCTTGCTGTAGTAACAACTCAGTAAACAGTTTATAGAAAAAGTATGTGTTACTGCATTCTGAGAGGGGAGAGTGTCTCTACAGCAATCACGTTGTACTTTATGAACCCTAAAATTTACGGAGAAAGGCTTAAAGGCTATACAACCACACCAATAAATTAACAAGAAACATGAAAAAAATCTACTGTTGGTCGCAGGTCCTTGTTGATTTGTCTATTGAGTGAGATACTGTATGTATCAAAGTGTGGCTTTTTCAGTGGTGCTGACTCACTCAAATTATTTAATGTTTGCTCAGGATAATTATAAAATACCCGAGGCAGAAAGATACTTCCCAGATAGAGAGTTCTCCTTCCTTCTCTTTCCCCGTATTGCAACATCCTCAGCCTTCTAAAGATTCCTAGGCAACCTAATTAAGAAAGGAAATTAACATAACTGAGTTATATGTCAAGTACTTTAAATATGGTTATCTTATTTCCCTTAATCTTCACAACAACCCTATTAGACAGGCATGATCACCCTTATTTTATAGGTAAGGAAACCAAGGCTCCGAGAAGCTAAGTAAATTGCCCAGGGTCACATAGCTGGTGCATAGCAGAACTGGGCTTTGATGCCGGGTCTGTGTTGCTTAAAAGCCTGTGTTATTTCCACTCTTTTATGCTAGAATTAGCTTGTTTAAGGGTAGGGTCTACCTAGCACAAAGATGCGGGGGGCAGTGAGCACACAGACATCTAGATCTCAGGTGGAATGATGAGGAGCCTGGGAATGGCTGGGAAGCAACATAGGACCCAGTGTGAGCCTTGGGCTTCCGTCATCTCGCACGGTGACAGCTGTCCCGCTTGTCTGCTGTTTTGCCCCCTCGCAGGTATATAGTTATGGTGGATGTGCCATATAAAAGGTTACTACAACCTTCTTCCATCGCTGGTTGGTAAACAGAGAGAGCAGCCCGACCTAAGCCGCTCTATCAGCCTTTCTCTTCCATGGGAATTCTGGATTTGGAAACCTGAGGCAAGGCTCTCTTTGGATGGTTGTACAGTGATTCAGAACTTGTGAGTGGTTATTTCATTATGTCAAGCAGAGCTACAGAGGAAGTAAGTTTGAAGAAAGAAAGAATGAGGCCGAGAGGAGAGACGCATGTTGTGACAGCATCTGGGAGTCTCTTCGAATCGCAGGTCAGCTCTGCCCTTCTTGTTTTCTCTAACACACTCTGGAATCTTATAATTAATTTCCCTTTTGCTTAAGCTACTATGAATTGGGTTTCTGTTACTTTCAACCAAGTGTTCTAACAAAGTCCCCCGAGACCTCACTGTCTGTGGTGAGCAATTTGTCGCAAGTGGTAGGGCATACTTTCTAGCTGGGTATTAAGCTTCTCCAACGCCCATCTCTGCTGTCTCTGCACAATTCTCTGCCTCCGAGTCTGTGTACTCACTGGTGCAGACATCATCATCACCACTGTCAGCCATCAGCACGTTCAGCAGAGACTCAGAGTGCCGCTGTCTGAGCTCACGGTTCAGGACGAGCTCAGGGCAGAGATGCAGCCATGTTGCTTCTGATTTATTTCAGCAAAGGGTTCCTTTACAACTAGTAAAGAACACACAAAGGAGCGGGTGCTTTTTCCAGGCCTGGGTTATCACCTTTGATTCATTTTCCACTGCTCTGAAAAGACCTGTTCTGCCAGATTCCCCCATTGCTCTGGCCACGCCCTGAGCAGGCAGCACACTCTCTGGGAACCAGCACTGACACTGTCTCCAAGGCGGCAGGATGCAGAGGCAGGAAAAGGATCAGCGATGGTTGCAGTGCAGTGGTAACAAGGAGAGCAGCAAAGCTCACTCCCTGTGGCCTGTGTGGGCACTGGCTTAAGTGCTTTGTAGGGATAGTCCCTTCTCATTCTCACATCAATTCTAGGAATCTTTATAACTCTAGAAGGGTAATAATATTTCTCCTCTCTCCCCCATTTTTCAGATGAGCAAACTGGGGTTTAGAAACAGAGTGACTTTTCAAGGTCACAGACACTACTAGCAGCAAAGTCAGGCAGCAAACCAGCATGCCTGCTCTCTGCAGCACACAGGCCCTGGCCCTGATGGAGGGGACTGGGGCCACACCACGTCCTCAGGCTGCTCTCTGCAGCACACAGGCCCTGGCC